ACTAGTGAATTCAATAATGTTGAATTGACACATTCAGACATCAAACCTGCATATTCAGAGGAATTAATGGCAGCTTCTTAAAAATCAGCATCAATGATGAGAAGTTGTTGATTTATCTTCTAAACTTATTTTGCTCTTAATGTTCAGTTTCTGTGTTTTTATTTTTAACCAGACCCCCTTCCAACAGGAAGTCCCCACAATGCAGCATCTTCCAGGGAAACTGGACTCACACTGTCCCCACAAGCTAACACACACACTCACACTGGTTCTGCCATCATAGTGAGGACCATGTGTTGATTCCCATTGACTTTCATTGATTTTCAGTCATTTTTAATCCTTTTATTGCTCTAACCTTAAACTAACCTTAAACCTAACCATTACCAATGCATAGCTCACCCTAACCATAACCAGTTGACACCTTAGCCCTAAACCTGACCATTAGATAAATAGCATGAGAGGACCGGCTAAATGTCCTCCCTTTGCAACAGCTGGTCCTCACTCTGAGCGCTAGACGGGTAAACACACACACACCTCCTGGTGCCCTTCACCCTCCATCCAAGGAGAAATTAGAGCAGCTGCTGTCTGAGCTTTGACCAGCAGGGGGCGGAATAGCACATCAGTTCAGATGGTCTCGGTTTGATTTTGCTGTTTTGATTTTTTTTTTATTTTTGTTTTAGAAATCTGTCATATTGATGGTTTTATTCTCCATTTCTTTGTTAAAATGGTTTCTGTCCCGCAGAGCCACGCAGAGCCACGCACACTCACACCTGAGGGGAATCTAGACACACCTTTCTGGACAAAGGAGCAGGTCAGAGTACCCTGAGAGGACACCGATACACACTGGGAGAACATGCTAATGGAACAACTAGAATATTAAGATGTTTATTAATAAGATAAAGAAAACTGTAAAGCAGTGATGTTATGAGATGAGCTGAGGCTTCGAGGCGCGTGCGGAGCGGAGGGGGCGTTTCTGCGAACCGCGCTTCATTTAGGGGAGGAGCCTCGCTACCCGCCATGTGACCGAACTTAAACAGCCTCAGTATTAAAGGAAAAGTCCAGTCAGCAAAGAATGATGAATGGAACATTATTTATACCTAAAACTAAAACGTTCGCGTAAATTTAATGAATTTAGCGTTAATCAGTATAAAAAATAAAATCAATAATTTTCATTGTGTTCATGAAGCCTGGTTTATACCCAGAAACCAGATCGTCTGCGTGTGTCGCTGTTAAAGGAGAACGGCGTTTCTTTACATTTAGCCCTTGATTTTCCGTTATTCCATCATGTTCTACTCACCCCCCCTGACATCATCAGCGCGCGCCGGCTACCGTTCATTCATCCTGTCCGCTGAACTGATGCTAGTTTTCCTCCCATGCCTGGAAGATGTCTAGAGCTGCTACCACAGATGATCTCGCTCTCCAGATGAACGATTCAGATGAGCTAGAATGAATAGAAGGGGTAGAGCGTAGCCGCTTGTGACCCGGGCTGCCTGTCACTACTACAGTCCACCGCGCGGATGACGTCATACACGGCGCCGCTTTGTTTTAAAAGATATAAATATAAAAATCAAACGGCGGATTTCTGGGGGACAGTGATTGGCCTCCATGTTCTGAATGCTGGCGTACCATAAAGAATAAATGATGAACAGTTTAGTTTGTGCCTTCAAGTCGTTGCCCATAGGAAGACGTTACTGGATATAACCTAACGGAATATCTTCAGAACGGTTCCAAATGACACTAAACTCATCTGGGTGAGTAGAACATGATGGAATAACGGAAAATCAAGGAAACAATGTAAGAAAATATGCCGTTTCCCTTAACTTAAGCAGCTGACCCCCATCCCGCCTTCTTACCTGTGGCTCTCGGGCCTCTACAGGTGAGACTGACGCCTACCTCCTAGCCACCAAAGCAGGTAGAATCAGGTTCCACGCTGCCTGCGTTTCAGAGGAGCCGAACGTAGTCTTGTTTTTCCTGTGGTTCAAATCAAGTTGCACGCAGTTTTTTGGGAACCCACCTGCTGATGCAGATGAGAAACTACCCGGTCCTGGTCGACCCACAGAACATCTGATCTCTGTTCCCAGATGAGCTGCTAGAAGCTTCTGGAACTGTGAATCCACTAAGATCCACTGGTTCAGCTGCTGCTGAAGCCTCCATCTGAGCCGCTGCTAAAAGCTGCAAACAGTAGCAAGGAATAATCAATGGATCAGATTTAAAGTTCTTTCAGAAGTTTGAGTTCTGAATATGACCGGACCTTTCCTTTAAAGGAATAGTACACCCAAAACATGATTAGCCTTCATTTTCTACTCACCCCCATGCTGAACAACACTCTGGAGTACTTTTTTGATATCTCAAATGCATCTGGAGATCTGGGAGGCTTCTTGCTGTCTGCTGACATTCAAATAATGGAGGTCTATGGCGCCCGAGACAGAAAGGTCCATAAAAGTCCACAAAAAACGTGTCAATATTCCTCCATACTGCTCGTCCAATGTATTCCAAGTGTCCTGAGTGGGTAGCATCCAGAATTTACTCGAAACGAAGTCATTTAGAATGTTTTTAGAGCATAAACAGTAGTGTATAGGATTTCCTGAAAGCGCGCACATGCACATTCACGACGCTACGGAAGCCGGCAAACCAAGCCAGATGAAAGTGCGCATTCAGCGTCTGCTCTGCCGATAATGCAAGCGTAGAAGAAGAAATGTGCTGTTTACCTGTGCAAAGAAAGAAACAACGAAAGAAAAATGTCTGAGGACTTCAGTGTTGAGGAAGAGCATGAGTTCTTTGCCGAGCTGAATGCGCTGGTTTGGTCTGCCGGCTTCCGTAGCGTCGTGAGCGCGCCTGTGCGCGCTTTCAGGAAATCCTATGCACTACTGTTTATGCTCTAAAACATTCTAAATGACTTCGTTTCGAGTAAATTCTGGATGCTACCCACTCAGGACACTTGGATTACATTGGACGAGCAGTATGGAGGAATATTGACACGTTTTTTGTGGACTTTTATGGACCTTTCTGTCTCGGGCGCCATAGACCTCCATTATTTGAATGTCAGCAGACAGCAAGAAGCCTCCCAGATCTCCAGATGCATTTGAGATATCAAAAAAGTACTCCAGAGTGTTGTTCAGCATGGGGGTGAGTAGAAAATGAAGGCTAATCATGTTTTGGGTGTACTATTCCTTTAAGGCCTGCTTATCCTCCCTCTGCAGTGTGTCGCAGATATTTTTGATTTCTGCCCAACATTGAAGCGTGGTCTGCGCTGTTATTCCACGCCATGTAGCCAGAGGGCCAATCAGGATCCAGCTGTGGGTCTAGATACGGCCGAGGCGGTGAGGAAGGGGGGGAAAGTCTGTGCGACAATATCTGCCATAACTGCGACACACAAGCAGACGACCTTTTTCTGAGCATAAACCAGCCTTTAGGATACTATGGTTACCTGGCTAGCATTGTTAGCTTCACGCTAGCTCACTGCTGTCCCTACCTGATTGGTCCTGTAAGCACGATCTGACCTGCGTGAACAGATATACATCTGGATGTCCATAAATAAGGTAATTATTATACTAAAATGACTTATTTCCATCATTAACTCACTAAATAATGATAATACTGTCCTTTAAAAAATATTTTGATACTTTTGTGAGACAATTTTGATGCTTTTTCCATTTTTTCTGTTAAACACCTTCTATGACATCATCATGTGACATCAGAGCAGTAATTCTGATTAAACCGTGTTTATCTGCATTCTAGTTGTTTCTTTCTTTAGATTACGCACTAAAGGAAAACATTAAACTATAAAAAACTAAATTTATGTTTAAATCCAAAGCTGATCAAGTTAGCTCTTGGAAGTAGCGTAGCATCCCATTTCCTGTGCAGATCAGGTGATAAAACTGAATTTTAAGGTATTTATTTTCTCAGGAAATAAATTATTAACCTTTGACATATTATAATTTTATAAAACTGGAACTCGACGCTATTTCTGACATTTTGAATTGAAAAAGTTTCCTGGATGGAAGAGAAACGTCTTTAAACTTGGAAACAAAGTCCAGAGGATTGATTTGAACTCTTTTGGAATAAATTGTTGAAAGACAACTTTAACTTTAAAGGAGTCGAACCTTTATGGAAAACACTGAGGACCCTGGTCAGTAAACAGATTACGGCTGTAATGGTTTAATTAATAATCAGTAGTTGGGTTTTACCCATGATATGGACGATTATTAATTAACCTTCCTGCTCTAATGATTTAATATATCCAGAATCTCTTGGTGGAAACAGCAGCTCTGTGGTTTTGGGTCAGAATCTTTCATATTTCATTGAAGCAAAGTGGACCGAAATGGGTCAGAATCAAATTGGCTAAGAAACCAGTTTCCTGAACTGGTTCGGTTCTGATTTCCTCCAGAACTTCCTGGATCTTAAGCCAGAAACGTTCCTCAGAGGTTCCGTTCCATCCATGAGGAGAACTTTCAGAACATCACAGAAAGCTTTGGCTGGACTTTGGAGACCTTTAGAGTCGAGCCAGACAGAACCATCAGAACCTGGGTCACCATGGGAACCATCAGCTGTGGCACCAGGTCAGATTTCTGTTCTGGTCCAGTTCTGGCGGGTCAGGTGTTCTGTCCCTCCTCCAATCATCTTCTCCTCTCTGTAAAGGTGCTGTCCTCTGATTGGCTGAGCAGCTGTTCAATAAAGATCCTGCAGAACCGAACCTGGAAGTCTGGCAGCAGAACCTCAGAGCAGGTGAGGCTGGTTTATTCTCAGCGCGTATGCGCTCTCTGGTAATCCCCCCCATTCCGCGCATGCGTGCAGGCCTGCTAAGGCAGCAGAGTGAACAGATTGTCCTCCCCTGTGATGCTGATCCTCACCTGAAAGCAAACAGTCTGCTGCGGTGAGGGAGGGAGGGGCCCCGTGGAAGGGGAGGGGGGAGCATGCGCGCTGCTCTCCATCCGCTCCGCATCTCTCCCCCCTCCCTCCCCTCTCCTTTTCTGCAGCATCAGTACCACTCCCCCCTCCCTCCCCCTCTCTCTCGCTCACTCGGTTTTTCCTGCCGGGTTGCTGCTGCTTTGCGCGCTGCGGGGCCACACTGCGACCGCACCGAGGAGGAAGAGGAGAAGGCGCGGAGCTAAAGGGGGGGCAGAGGTCCAGATCTAGAGGAAGAAACAGCGAACCGAGGAGGAGGACCGATTCCCGCACCGTCACGCACGGATTAAAAAAAAAAAGAGGCAGAAGGCGGGACGCGTCACAGCGCTCTTCCTCCTTCCATCTCTGCTCCGCGTCCAGGAGAAGAGGAAGAGGAGGACACCCGGAGGGAACCGCTGGGGATCTCGGTGTCGGACAGCTCCCCCCCCCTCCCCGGAAACGGATCAGGGCCGATTCTCCGCTCTCTAGCAGCCGGACACCATGAAGGACCGCACGGCGGAACTGCGAAGCGTAAGCTCCTTCTGCTCTCCATCCTCCTGCTGGCCTCCATCTTCCTCCCCTCCCTCCCTCCTCTCCGGGCCGCAGCATCCCGGCCTCCGCGCGGAGGAGAGGAAGGATGGAGGAGGAGAGCCGCCCGGAACCGCAGGGTTGCGGGTTTTTTTGTGGATGCGGGTGGCGCTGCGGCCTGGAGCCGTTCATGCTGTGAATACAGAGTGTGCTGCAGAGCCTGTAATGGAGTCTGTGCGGTGTGTGCGTGGACGGATGCGTGGCTGCAGCCTCTTTCTGTGCGGGATCTCCGCCTCTATAGACGCAGAGGCCCGCGCTGGGTTCTTAACTCTCCTCATGCGTGACGGGAGCACGGAATAAAACGCACCCATCCGAGCTCATTCTGATTCAGTCCATGCGTGAGAGGATGAGGAGGGGGAGGGAGGGGGGGTCAGCTGGGATGAAGAAAATTGCTGATTTTTTCTTTCATTTTTTTCCGACGGAGGCCGCATCCGGCGGGGGGGTGGGGGGGGGGTTGGTTGCAGGCGGGCTCTCTGCTCGGGTGATAGTGGAGGGGGGGGGGGGGGGGGGCTGGGGGGGTGGCTCGTGGCAGGAAAGCCTCACCCATCAGCGGGTGAGAACTGAAAGCTCTGCGGTGCGATGCGACGTTTCAAGAGCGAACAGCTGATGCTGGGGGTGGGGGGGGGGGTGGGGGTTCAAGCAGGTTCAGGGATGCACTCTGTTGCATTTCTTCATCATGTCGGGTTGGGGTGGGGCTATGGGGGGGGGATCAATAGCTTGTGATCAGTAAATCATTTGCATGGAAGCAGAGTTTACTGCACTGCTGTCCATCATCATCATCATCACTGATCAGCTTCTATGATTTAAAATATGTTGATTTTCATCTCCTAAAATATTTGAACTGGAAAATATTTGAACTATTTGAGCTGAAAAATTCATCTCTAAAAATCCTCCAGTTCTTGGTGGACGATTAAGAATCATCCCAGCAAACTGGTTCAGTTCCCTAAAGGAGCATGTGGCGACAGTGGAGAGGAAACCTCCAACTGGACCCAGAGTCTCTTTAAGGAGAGACAGAACTTCCAGTTAGTCCCAGAAAAGCTCAGCCAGGAGCTAAAGGAGCAGGTGGATCATCTAGAGAAGGGAAACAGGAAGTCATCAGCAGTCAGATGGAGCAGTCAGGGGTGAAAGGTCACTGAGGAACGCCCTCAGTGTGTCTGATTGTGCGTTCTTGTGTCCTCGTAAAAAGTCATCATCCTCAGTCCTAGCACGGTTCCAATTCACTAGAACAGCAGACCGAGTCCCCGGATGTTGTTCTGGCCCCTCCCTCTTTACCCAGCATGCATCAGAGCAGACCTGTCCGTTCTCCAGACTGACAGCTGTCCCAGCATGCACTGCAGCAGCAGCAGCTTCCAGGTTAGCGCTCACAGAGCTCAGAGGATTAAGTTAAAAGTTCTCTTTTCTGTTGCTGCTGTTCAATAAAAGTACGTTTTAAGATCATTTGAGGCGAGAATATTAAAATTTAAGCTTCATTATATGGAACATTTACTGATTTAGTGCGGAATTTAAAAAGATTTTCAGATGTTGAGAGGACAGTAGCAACCAGCGGAGCTCTGAGGGTAACCACAGCCAGGGCAAACGTTAGCCCGTCTGCAGCGGCCAGGGCTAACGTTAGCCCGTCTGCAGTGGCCAGGGCTAACGTTAATCCATCTGCAGTGGCCAGGGCTAACGTTAGTCTGTCTGCAGCGGCCATGGCTAACGTTAGTCCGTCTGCAGCGGCCAGGGCTAACGTTATTCCATCTACTGCGGCCATGGCTAACATTAGCCCGTCTGCAGCAGGTCAACGTTAGCCCGTCTGCAGCAGGTCAACGTTAGCCCGTCTGCAGCAGCCAGGGCTAATGGTAATCCGTCTACTGCGCCCATGGCAAACGTTAGCCCGTCTGCAGCAGGTTAACGTTAGCCCGTCTGCAGCAGCCAGGGCTAACGTTAGCCCGTCTACTGCGGCCATGGCTAACGTTAGCCCGTCTGCAGCAGGTTAACATTAGCCCGTCTGCAGCAGGTCAACGTTAGCCCGTCTGCAGCAGGTTAACATTAGCCCGTCTGCAGCAGGTCAACGTTAGCCCGTCTGCAGCAGCCAGGGCTAATGTTAATCCGTCTCCTGCGGCCAGGGCTAACGTTAGCCCGTCTGGAGCAGGCTAACGTTAGCCCGTGTGCATAGCCGTGTGTGAAGTACCGCTGCCTCTGGTGGAGGTTTGATTGTTTTATTTGGTAAAATGTTTCTGTTTATTTGACTGTGTTTATTATTATTCCCCCAATAAATGAAAAAAGTCCTAATTTATTATAATCTAGAGACAGGAGTTGAAAATGCAGCTCCAGACTAGCTTGAATGTGGTGATGTCATCAGTATGCTTCTGTTCTAGTGGATCCAGATCTATCCAGACTTTCCTGGGTTCTAGTCAGGAACAGACTTGGCGAGGAGACGAGTCCGTTCTCGCGTTCTAGTGAACTGAGAAACGGCCTGAGTTCAAGATGAAGGAATGTCTGCCACAGTTAGAGGTCAAAGGTCAAACCCATTCATCCATTTCACTTCAATTTCTTCTATTAGGATTATGGGACATCTTGTGGGCGACCCCTGATCTAAAAAATGTTTTCTATGTTTTTTGCTATTTCATCTGCTGCAGAGGACAAAGGGCCTGAGTTCAGAATGTGAAGTCTGACAAACATGGACCCCTTCATGCACAGATTGATGCCTTGCCCATAGGCAAACACACATCTGCAAAACAGATCTACAAATAAGCCAAATGTTTATTAAAATCTGTGTATTTGGCCTTAATTTCAGCAGCGAAACAGGATTTCTGCCCATAAAACAGTAATTAGATATTATGCACTTGAAATAAGATTACTTCATTTTTTTTTTATTCTAAAAGCAAATTATATCAATTTATTGGCAAATTGTTTAACTTCCCTGCTCAAATTAAAAAACACAAATTTTAATTAAAAAATGAAACATCATCTACATATAAAACTCAATAAAACAATTAGAATATATTTCTAATGAAAGTCTCACAGATTCCCTCCAAACTGTCAGGTGAACTGACGTGAGATTATTTTAGCAGTGGAGGAAGTTTGTGATGTAATTAATGGATGGATGGAAATGCTTCAAGGTGAATCTGAAGCTGTTTCTCCTGATGGTTGTTTCCAGCATCAGTCCTTAAAACAGGGATATTCTGGTTTATTAATGATGGAGTCACTGGCTGCGCTGATTGTTGCCGCCGCATGTCAACATTATTTTAAAGAGCTGGAAATGTTATCCGCACACATGGAGCGGCAGACGGATCGTTGGTGTTTGTTTGGAGCTGAGTGTTCGTTTGATCACATCTCCTGTTTCATTTTCATTGATTAAAACAGGGGGTGGTGGGAGGCGGGGGCCCGGCGGGGACGTAACTCGCCGTTTCCACTGGTGGATAGACGCTGCCTTTTCTCATCAACCCTGAAAACATTACAGTGACGTCACTCTGACATAAAATCAACATACACTGCAAAAACTAATTCCTAAATAAGGTCTATTTACCCTTAATTTGAGTTTGTAAATAGGATGGAATTAGTATTTTTACTGTTAGAATAAAATAATTAGATAATATTCACTTAAAATAGACAATAAAATATTTTTTCTAATTTTGAATTCAAATGTTCTTGTTTCTCCAGCGGGACGGAGTCGTTTCTTAACGGCAGATTAAACTTCGCTGTTATAGTGAATTCACTTTACTGCCTGGAAAGAGTGAAACCTCTGTGTGTTTTTAAGCTCCGCCCCCTAATAATCTGCCTTCACCCGGTAAACCCGATGCTGTTTTCTCCTTTTCATTTCTTCTTTTTCTTATTTCCGCCCTCTGTGCATGGATGCTCCTCCTCTGCAGCAGGAAATGGAGGATCGAACCATCGATGGTTGTTTTTGCTCGTTTTAAACTCCTCCCCCACAAACAACACATTTCCATATAAAGCTAAATCCGTTAAGGTGAACAAGTTTGGCCCCTTGTTGTTTTATTCTGAATGTAAATTCTCTTGTTACATTGGCAAATTGTTTCACTAAAGCACTTATTTTAAGAAAAACGACTTATCTAGATTTCATTTTTTGCAGTGTAAAATCAGTTATCTGATGTCCCCACAAGGTGAGAAGATCCCACAATGTAGGCGTGTGCTAAGGTCCTCACAAACACATATAAAGAGGTGCAAACGCACGTTTAAAGTTAAGAGTTATTTCATTTGGTTTTATTACAGGAATTCTGTTCAAATTCTTTTAATTTTGATCCTAAAACAGATTAAAGTTCTTTACATGAAGGAAACAAACATGAAAAACAAAATAAAAACAATGTAAGCGTCACTGTTAGCAGGCGGCTAATCGTACATACGCAGATGTGGAGCAATAGATGCTGACATACGGATGGTGATTGGATATCGCAGTCAAAGGAAGGATTCTAATCTGGATTAAAAGCCGTTTAGGATTTGATCGTTTATATTGTTTGGTTTGGAGTTTGTTCCAGATTAGAGGAGCAGAACTAAAAGCTGCTTCTCCCATCATTCCCTCCCAGGAGGAGACAAATGAACTGAATCGATTTCTGTTGAGCTTCATGATAATCAGTTTAATTCCATTTTAATCTAAACACTCCTGCTAAAACACATCAAACTATTTCATTCATCCAGTTAGAATTCATTTGGATTTAATTAGGAACGCTTTAGATAAATACAATTCATTCACATTAAATAGATTTAGAGAATAATTTTCATTAATTTCAGAAATATTTAAATTATTCAAAATAAAAACTTTACATTCTGCAATTTGTTTTGTTTCTATATTTACGAGTATTTCGTTTAGTTTCAGAGCAGAGTTCCGGTGTAATCACTTTGAAATGACTTCATACTTTTATGCTCTAATTCAAGACGATTTAAGAAAAGTTCAGTTAGTTTAGAATCAGGACATTATTAACCTCCACTGTCAAATTTATCTAGTG